TTTCCTGCTCCTGGTTGCTGTGTGCGCGCCCTGCCCCACTCCTGCCAAGAGCCCTCCCCGCCCGGCTTGTTTATTTACAGTTCCGGGAAAGGATTCCCTTCCCCCAATCTTCAGCGCTCAGTGCACCCCACCCCTCTTTCCCATATGTTTATTGTTCTTATTGCTTATTAGTCAGTTTCTCTTCTTTTCCCTGGGTGGAGGTCGGTCTGTCAGGGGACTTATGCTGCTCTGGCCCAGGCTTGTCTGTGGGAGTACGAGTACCGTGAAGCTCACCTTGTACGAATCTTCCCAAGCCGTCGGGCGCGCGGAGACTGGCAGCCAGGGTGCCCTCCTCGTTTCTTTAACGTGAAGTGGAGATTCTCTGCACTGGGTGAATGTGGAGGGGTCAAAGTTTTGCCTCTTCTTGGTGATTTTGCCTGCAAAGTGTATCTCCAGTGTCTCTCCAAGATTTCACTATAGGAGCTCGCTTTCTGCTTCTCCTCTACTGCCATCTTGGAATCACTCTGTGCTCTCACTTTTATCATGTGATCAAAGTCCAATTCCTTGTTGTGTTTGCCCTTATCTAACGTCTGCATATGAGGAAACATACGATTTTTGGTCTTTTGGGCCGGCTAACCTCACTCAGAATGATGTCTCAATTCCATCCAATTTACCAGCGAATGATAACATTTCATTCTTCTTCATGACTGCATAAAATTCCATTGTGTATAGATACCACATTTTCTTGATCCATTCGTCAGTAGTGGGCATCTTGGCTGCACTCTTTGTTGTATAATGGCTTTGGTTGATTTGTATGCATGCCCTCCAGTCTAGCTAACAGAGAGGTATAAAGTGTCATTGCTTTATTATCACAAGAAATAAGAGGTCTAAATAGAAATATCTCCCTGTTATGTAATTATTACTCAAAAATGTTACAGATTAGTTTATTTTTTAAAAAAAGATTATTTTTTAAAAAAAACAAAAACTTAAAAGCCAAATCATTTTTAGCAACTTTTTTTTTTTGTCTGATTACTATAGCATAGGGCAGGCCATTTCATACAATTGTCTAGTGTATAGTTGCAGCTACTTTCTTTTTATGATGTTTCATTGGGTTACATTTCTTAAGGCTAGATACTTGTTGAGTCCTCTTGAATTTTGGAGTTTGGCTTGATTTTTTGTTGTTTTGGTTTTTTGAGGTTTGTCATTTGTTTTTTAATGCCTAAAGTACCCTATTATGCCCACTTTTAATATTGTCCAGGATAAAATTAAAACCACAAATTACTTCATGAGGAGGACCAGGACTCTGCCCAAGGGCATGATTCAAATTACCCTCAAGCAGAGGTGAGGCAGCCTTTCTAGCCAGCATAATCCTTGCTAGATGCTTCCATTTTCACAGCTGGTTATTATTTCTACTCCAGCTATTTGAACCAAGAGGCTGTACCTTCAAGTGACAATTGTCTAGCCTTAAAATGAACTCTAGGATCCTTTTAGTTTGTCTGATTCATTATTACACTATCCTTACTTCAGTATGGTGCTTAGCATATGGTCAGGATCGTAAATATTTGTTGAATCAATGTATGAGCATAGATTAGCTGAGAAAAAATTATTGGTGTATTGCCAGAGATAGGTCATTGACTGGTAGAGGTATCTACATTTGGAAAGTTCATAACCCCAAATATTACATAAAATTTTGTGTTTATGTTTGAATGTACAATTTTTAAGGGAGAAGATCCATGGGTTTCCACAGACAGAAATAATTAAGAATGACTAATTTAATTATTTCTTAACATTCACCTGAAACATTGAGCAGTCTCGTACTAAAGATTGTTTTACAAAGATACTTTGCAAAAATGTTTCATCACATGGATTACCAGATCTTTAGAAAGACAGCCTTGAATATCAGCAAAATAGATAAGTCTGCAAAGATGTTATTGACAGTATGTCTACTCTGCCTCTCTATAAGGTGCCTCTCTATAAAGGACCTTCACAATCCTGTAAACACGCCAGTGCTGGAAATTTATCCCTGGTCATGGTTTAATTAATCCTTGTGAATCATTGTTTTATTTTTTATTTCAAGGATGCTATATTCACCTGCTAATCTTGTTTCCATTTCCCATTGGCTGTGTGCAGTATAGAACACAATCTAGTCATTTCATAATGCATCTTTCCCAATTACCCTTTGCTTTATATTTTTTGGTAACTCTTTCTAGAACTGGTTGAGATATTAATTAAAAGTAATACTGATTTTTTTTAAACTCAGTTCTCCTAGACATATTCATATCCAGTTTTTTAAAATAACATACCAAGTATAATTTGTGTTACATTTCAAAGACGAAATCACAGCAGGATTCAGACTATTTTTTGAGCTCTAGTTTGTTAAAGCACATTATATAACTATATATAACCTTTTCCCCCACTTTAAGGAAGCAACAGTTGGATTCCATTCACGTCACAAGTTGGAGAGAGATACGTTTTAGTGTGTTTAGACAGTAAGTACTATTTTAAAGTTTATTTTGAGTATACTACTTGATAAAACAATTCAGTGGAATTGAATCTATGAAACTATAATTCAATCTTTTTCTTCTCTTCTTTAAGTTGCCTAGTTTTATTGAAGATGAAACTCAATTGGCTATAGATAATTAACTGATCAGTTATTAGTGCATCTCATCACCTTTTACTATATTGGAACTGTTGGTCATACCTTGGGGTAAAAGTCTGAATAAATGATTACTATAATCAATGAAAATAGGACATTATAGTAATAGTCACTATAAAGTTATATAACATGAACTTTTGGAGTATGTCAGAGTGCAATTCTGTTGTATCTATGTATCTAATGTATGTAATGTATCTGCTGCCTGCTAACTGTGATTCTTTTGATGCAGGGAAAGATGTTTTGGTACAAGTGTGTTGTACTGTGAGCAGCAGAGAGGCAGAAAAATCTTTAGCAGCAGGTGTTTTGATTTTGCATATGAAGCATTGTGGTTCTTAATGCCCACCATATTCTTATGCCAGTGAATCTACCAAGACAGAATCACCAATTTAAGATTATTATTAAACTTGACATATTTGCTATAATTGGTCCACTCCAAGCCAGGTGTGGTGGTACATGTCTGAATCCCAGCTATGTGGAAGGCATAGGTAGAAGATCATGGTTGGAGGCTTGGCCCCTAGCACTGCCTGTTTTTCTGCTTCTAATCCTATACCTTGAAGGTTCCCTATGGATTTCTTAGAATAATACAGATAATCTAATACTGTAGACAAGTAAACTAAAACCCACAGTGTTTTAATCACAATCATCCCTTTGTTAAGAACATGATCTCTGAATGCTGGTAAGATTGGAGTGCTATTATGTTACCCTTAAATGATTTGATCAATTCTTTTTTATCCAAGCAAATGTAAAGTTTGATACTAACCAAATAATCAGATACCACAGTTTAATGGTGCTAAACCTCTTAATGTTAATCTTTAAGGTACCTTGTGAGTCATGAGATATAATTGTGTTTAATTTTTGGGTGGTGATATTTTACTAGAAATTTTTTTTAATTGAATTAACAAGACCCTATATTTCCTAATAATCAACATTAGCTAAAAGTAACCTTGATATTTCTGGTTTTGAAAGAGGCAGAAGATTTTGAAATTTGTTGTCTGCTCTGTGATTTATAAATTGATTTTAGTGGAGGTGGTGAAGATAGGCCTGTTAATCCCAAATCATGATGGAAGACATTTGAGAATATATATTTAAAAAAAATTACTTTCCAAGTCAAAGCTAAGATGATGAAATTTTAAAACAGTGAACAAAAGGGAAATATTTTCATATGTTCCCCATCTCAGAGTTTACTGCCTCAAGAGTACTATTTCTTACCCCTGAGTATCTTTGTAGAATAGAATTCATACAGTAGCAGTATGAATTACTATAAATGTCACTTACTATATTTTATGTAATTTCTAAGGGAAAAAAAATCAACTCATTGCTAAATATTTGAGCCCCAAATCAGCCACTTATAAAGAAATTTACTTTAAAAAAATGAAAATGTTAGTGATTAATATATACTGTGTAAAAAAAGAAAATAATAGCAGCAAAATTGCCATCTGCCAAAGGAAGGAACTCTTACAGCACATCTTCTAAAACATGCAATGACGTCTTCCCCTGGGCATACTGTGTCAAGATAAATCATTAAATGTTATTAAGAACATTATTTGTTGCCCAAATAAAGTCCATAGATTGTTACATTTATTTTAGAAAATTTTCATTTCCAGTCTTGACCGTTTTTATTTTTTTTTTTTAAGAATTTGTAAAAATTGTAAATCTACAAGGAAAACTAAAATCGAGTAAGAAACTAGCCTCTGAGCTAAGTTTTGATTTTCGCATTGAATCTGTAGGTAAGTCCCCTTTATTACTGAGCTTGGCCTACATGGGGGTTTGTTTATTCTATAGATCTCTTAAGTATACCTAGAGTTCTCTAGACCAACACTGTCTTCGTAGAAGTTTCTATGATGATAAGTGTTCTCTATGTTCTTAAATACAGTAATCGTTAAACACATGTGGCTGGTAAGCACCAGAAACATAGCTAGTGCTACAAATTACTTTTTAAATTTTTAATTAATGTAAGTTTTAATGCAAATAGCAACATGTGGCTGGTGGGTACCATATTAGATATGCAAGCTTAGTGCTTATTCTTGCTTCCTGAATATTTAAAACTTGCAATTATTTTTGAAGTTTCTATTCATTATTACCATTGCTGCATCAAGTGAATTATACTTTTCCTGATTCTTTCTAAATCATAAAAGCATTTGTGTGATGTGATAATAGCGTTAGATAAACTTAATCCTTTACCATGTAAAATTCTACTGGTATGTGATGGCAGTTATTGCTTTTACATCTGATTATACATGAATAACAAGTTTCCTACAGGATTTAGAAAGTAATGTGCCATTTTAATTTGTTTCCTCATCAGTGAGCATTTTACTCTATAATACTCATTGATTTTTATAATGAAAAGCATTACAGTTTATCATTACTTGCATCCTCCTTGGTGATATGTCAGTATTTTCCCTAGGAATGATTGAACTTGCTAGGAAAATATTGGGCCTACAAACATTTTGGATAACCATTGATGATTCTGCCATAAATCAAAGAAAGAAGTTAAAACAGGGCTAGAGGAGTGGTTCAGGTAGTAGAGCACCTGTCTAGCAGGTGTGAAGCCTTACGTTCAAACCCAGTACCACCAAAAAAAACAAAGACAAAAGAAGTTAGTCACTTTACTTGGACCATAAGAAAATTATGTATTTTATAACTACATGTATATACTTTTAAAGCATGTTCTCTCTAGTTAGAAAGTATTTATGAATATTCAATATGAATTTCCCATATTAAAATGGAATTTTTCCCTGTCATAAAATATAAGGGGTTAGGGGTATGGCTTAGTGATAGAGCACATGAGGCCCTGGGTTCATTTTCTAGCACCAAAAATCAAATATGTTTGTGTTCTTTGTCACATCTGACAGAACAATATTTTGCTTATGCTTGGGAAATTTAACTTGTTGAAACAGAAAGCCTGAACTTTCTGTAGATGCAGGATGGAAGGAATTTAGGAAACTAGTTTCTTCATTTACTCCTTTATGTACTGGAAATTTTATGTCATTTTCTATAATTTAATATTTTTGAGAGTCTGACATAAAGATCCTCTTCATTTTAATTGATGTATACTTGGTATCTTAGTGTTTGTATATGTGCCAAATTAGTTAGGGAATTTTAATTGTTACACAAAAGTTTGTTCCCCCTTGGCTACCATCTCTTCTTGCTAGTTTGTTAGTCTTGGAATAGTTACAATAATTCTCTTGGAGAGAGTCCATTTAAATTATCTCTCAAGGGCAGGGGGAATGGGGGAGAAATGGCCCAAACAATATATGCACATATGAATAAATAAATTTTTAAAAATGAAAAAGAAAAATAAATTATCCCTCAAAAATAGAACCAGTAGATAGATTTTTCATTAGATACAATTAGTGAAACACATGTGCTCTGTCATCTTCAAATGCTTTCATTTCTGTTGAGCTTCAATTATGTTCCCAAAACATTCTTACACTAACCTTGTGCTTACTATCCTAATAATATACTAATAATTTTCAATCACTTTTTCCCGTCATCTTTATTTATGCTTATGTTTTTCTAATTCTTTTTAAATTATCTCTAATACTTGCATTATAGTACTTGAATTTTAAGACTTTTGAATAGAATTGACTCAAATCATAAATATTACTGAGTGATTAAATTTTGGATAATGGGGCAAATTTATTTTTTAAAAATAGGGAAAAATGTGACTATAAAAGATGCTTGCTTAATAGCTACTAAACCTTTTTAAGCCAAAACTCTAATTGCGTATATTTTTTAAATTTTATTCATTTAGAACAAAAGATAAACTATATAATAGGGTAATTAATATGCCAGTATGTAGCTTACCAAATGTTAGCCCATCTGTTTTTTGTTTGTTTGCTTGTTTGTTTTTTGGGGGGTGTTGGAGGTTTTTGATTTTTGGTGGGGGGCAGTTTGCAATACTGGAGGTTGAACTCGGGGCTTTGAGCTTGCTAGGAAAGCACTCTACCACTTGAGCCATGTTTAAATGAATGCTTATTACACATAGCGTTGAAAACTTGCATAACCCTGCCTCAATAAATTACTTGAGCTTAGACATGTCTTCGCCACAAAAAATGTTGAGAACTAATTGTCTAGACAGTGGAATTTTGCCCTGAGCACTGGAATAGCATTACATTATGATTCATTAAAGACAGTTAAGGAAAATTTATAGTGCAGTGCTATGTGCTTCACTTTGGTTTCAGTTCTCCCTTACCTTTTTTAGTATGCCTTCAAGACAGTGTGTTGGCTTTTTGGAAACATGGGATGCAGGGTAAAAGCTTCAAGTCAGATGAGGTAAGTTTTCTCACATTGCATCCACCAGCTGCCACTAAAGATTTTAGATGTTGAAGTGTTCATTTTAGGCATTTCCTCTCTGTATCTGCATTGCCATGTTTAATGCCTTTAATGCTATGAATTAGGAGCACAAAGAAACCAGTATTTTCTCTTCAAATATGTTCAATTTTGTATTGTATTTTTAAATGCTCAGTAACCACAAGGAATTACAAAATACATTTACACAGTTTGATTCCTCTAATTTGTAAGCATGGTTACTGACCTTACTAAACTTCTAAATTTAATGAGCATATACCATAATCTATAAAATATGTACCTGCTTTTACAATATTGTATTTTAAATGATAAATTGATGTGTATAGATCACAGGACTAAAAATCTTAAGGAAATTAATTTTTAGTAAATATCAAGTACCAACTGCATTGATGATGTACTATTTTGTAAATAATTTATCATACCTATTATATTTCAGGCACTTTATAAAGATTAGCTCATTTATGGGTCAGAATAGTCCAATGGGATACATACTGTTCATATTCCATTTTTTATAAGTACAAAGTGATTAAGTGACCAGTTATGTGTCTAGTTATGTGGCAGAGCCTGGATTTAAAAGTTCTCCAAAAATCATTTCTAGCTGAGATAATCAGGATACATTTCATGCAGAGATGAGATTTGGCTCCCACTTTGAGGAATGAAGCCTGCTCTAACAGAGACATTTGTGTAATTTTTCTATACCATGGATTCTCAAATTTGTGGACTTACATTGACATTCAGAACCTTCTATTCAAATTTACCTTTAGTTTTATCCTCACTCTTATTCATATATGAATCAATATCTCTACCTCCAGGAGAAATGTTTGTTTGACAGTTTATCTAGTTACTGATCCATATCACCATGTCCATGCATTTGATGAAGCCTACAGTACAGTCCTACGTACTGCCATAAGGTTAATTGTCCTTAAATGCTGTTTTCATTATGTCATTCCTATGATCAGAAATCTGTAGAAGATAGCCTGTTTCTCACCATACCAAATAGAAAATCCTATTTTTATGGTGTTGGGGATGGAAGCTAGGGCCTCACACACGCTAGTCAAGTGCTCTACTGCTGACCCTCACCTCCAACTGTCTACCTACTTACTTTAACACATCTTGCTTACATCTGTCTCTCTGCCTGTGTTCTCATCATTTGACTTAGTTCTAACTCAAATCTTAATCTCTTTCCTAAAGTAATATTCAGCCACTGCAGTCCACATGATTGGAAAAATCTCTGAAATTAATATTGTGAACATTAAGTCTATATAATATAAACCTAACTTGTTTTCTGATTCACATTTATTAATTCTGTCTTCCTAGCTAAAATGCAAACTCTTTGTTAACAGACTACGTTTATACTTAGTTTATAAAATCCACACTGTCTTAGTTTGGGTATCTCAAAAGCTGCCCTAAGATAAGAACCCAACTGTAGGTAGTATATTTGGGAATAAATTCCACAAAACAAATGATAGGATGAGGAATGTAAAATGGAGCGGTACCAAAAAAAAGAATGAAAAACACATTAATAAGCTGACTCCCATGTTTACAACCAGGGCTTTATCAACTAGGGAACCACTAAGGAAAAATATAGAATGTACCAACTGCTATTCCATTTCCATTAAGGGTTGCTTCCAGTCTCACACTTTAGGCCCCACATGACCTTAAGCAGGTTACTTATATGAGCCTTAGATTCTTTTTCAATAATATGAGGATTATAATGTGTGGCACACAGGGTTCCTCTGAGGAAAGTATCCGACCCATACCTGATATTCCATAAATATTGGTCCATTTCTCTAATAGGAAGTCAAAAAAAAAATTTACTGAAATTTATTTCATTTGAGGAGTGTCAAAAATTATTCATTCTGTCTAAGAATTGCTCTAGCTAAATGATTTTTAAATTGTTATTTAGGAAATATGGAGCTAAGGTGTTACTGATAGGTATTTTCTTTCATAGGTTACCCAGGAGATTTCAGACGAAACAAGAGTTTTCCGCTTATTGGGCTCAGACAGGTAATAGTTTATATTAATTTAATTATGCAAAGATTATACTCTTAATTACACCATCAGCCTATGATTGTATTTCAACAAGTTCTTAGAGGACTCATCAACTTAAGAGAAATTTCTCTGTATCTTTATCGAGAGAGTGAATAATATTTTAATCAGTTTATAGTCTTTTTTTTTTTAGTGTTAGAATCATTATTTCAGAGATAGTTATACTCAGGCAAGACAAAAGCTGTAAATATAGGTGTTTGTGTTCCTGGAAACTTGACAGATATTTCAACCCTTTTATTTTCATCATGTTTTCCTGGTGTATTGTTTTCTGTCAGTTACTATGAATATGTACCTCCTGATACTTGCCTTTATGTCAGAAAATGTTCAACTCAGTTTCTGAGCTCAATAATTACAAGGAATTATGTAGACTTTTGGGGAACAAAATTTTATAAGTCCCAAAACTGTGTTATCTTATGAGAAAAAAAACTTGATAACTTTTGTTCTCCAAAGTCTATATTGTTTACCTCTATAACAAATAAAATACCCATTTCTATTTTCTCACCAAAAGTTGTTACTGCAACAAAATTGGCTATTGTAGTATTGTTGAAGCATAGATTAAGGACAGCTGGTTCAGGTTCACACTATCATTGCTTAAATATTGCTTGGAGAAGGGGAAGCAGGACAGCGGTGGTGTGCTTCCATAAATGTTTTGAAAGAGAGTTTTGTAAAAGATTATTGGGGACAGCAGTGAGTACCTTAGTGAATACAAAAGGTAAGCCCACAAAGCATGGCAACCTAGTAAGCAGTCCAGCAAAAAAATAAAAAATCTAAACAGAAAAACAAGAATGAATTTGAGGACCATCTGGTAAATGACTCTCAAACTGGAATGGGAGGCTCTTTATTTACACAGGAAGGGCTGGCAATTATGGATTATCCAGTGGTCCTGGTGCAAGCAGCACTGTAATGAGATACAGCACAAGAGAATTCTGCTTGATAGAGGTTGGTATTAGACACTAATCTACCAGTTTACTTGTTTGACTCTGTCTACTTCACCCAGAGTCTGTGTCATGACCATTCCCTTCATTGTCTGTATTGTCTCACTACTCTGTTTACTCTAGACTGCTTCTTTCAGACCATTCCCTTATTCTGCTTATCTTGTAACTTGGGCATCTTCTTGATATCAAGATATATAGCTTAACCAACATTTTATTGTTTAAATACACATATTTTTGTCTAGGAGAAAAAAGCCCTAAGTATGTCAAAATATTAATAGTGATTAACTCTAGGCTGTTACATTATAGGTATATCCCCTTCTACTTTTCTGTAAAGCATAGTTTATAAAGTGTATTTTATTTCTTTCTATAAAAGAGATAACATGCTAATTGTAGGAAATTCATGCACTAGAAAAATACATGTGTGCAATATCTCCTCCCATCCCCTCTTTATACTCTCTTCTCTGTGTGAGCTTACTATTTTTTTATATTGTTATTGAGCCCCTCCTCCCTACAATTCACATGTTATGGTATGGCACCTCACTGATTTTTTTCTTTGCATCAGTCCTTTTATTGACTTCCCTATTTTGTTCCATGGAAAAAGAAGATGAAAGATCCCATTTCATACCTTTTAAACTATTAATGTTCAAATACCTTGAAGAACAACTTGGAAGAGTATCTCATAGGGTTCTGTTTTATTGTCTCAGCCCTTCTTCCACCCTCATCTTGTTAATGTAAATGCTTTTTTTTTTTTTCTTTTAAGGTTGTTAGATTTATTTCTTTTTTTTTTTTAATTCATATGTGCATACAAGGCTTGGGTCATTTCTCCCCCCTGTCCCCACCACTCCCTTACCACCCACCCCCCCCTCCCCCCACCCCCTCAATACCCAGCAGAAACTATTTTGCCCTTATCTCTAATTTTGTTGTAGAGAGAGTATAAGCAATAATAGGAAGGAACAAGGGTTTTGCTGGTTGAGATAAGGATAGCTATACAGAGTTGACTCACATTGATTTCCTGTGCGTGTGTTACCTTCTAGGTTAATTCTTTTTGATCTAACCTTTTCTCTAGTTCCTGCTCCCCTTTTCCTATTGGCCTCAGTTGCTTTAAGGTATCTGCTTTAGTTTCTCTGCATTAAGGGCAACAAATGCTAGCTAATTTTTTAGGTGTCTTACCTATCCTCACCCTCCCTTGTGTGCTCTCGCTTTTATCATGTGCTCATAGTCCAATCCCTTGTTGTGTTTGCCCTTGATCTAATGTCCACATATGAGGGAGAACATACGATTTTTGGTCTTTTGGGCCAGGCTAACCTCACTCAGAATGATGTTCTCCAATTCCATCCATTTACCAGCGAATGATAACATTTCGTTCTTCTTCATGGCTGCATAAAATTCCATTGTGTATAGATACCACATTTTCTTAATCCATTCGTCAGTGGTGGGGCATCTTGGCTGTTTCCATAACTTGGCTATTGTGAATAGTGCCGCAATAAACATGGGTGTGCAGGTGCCTCTGGAGTAACCTGTGTCACAGTCTTTTGGGTATATCCCCAAGAGTGGTATTGCTGGATCAAATGGTAGATCAATGTTAGCTTTTTAAGTAGCCTCCAAATTTTTTTCCAGAGTGGTTGTACTAGTTACATTCCCACCAACAGTGTAAGAGGGTTCCTTTTTCCCCGCATCCTCGCCAACACCTGTTGTTGTGGTGTTGCTGATGATGGCTATTCTAACAGGGGTGAGGTGGAATCTTAGTGTGGTTTTAATTTGCATTTCCTTTATTGCTAGGGATGGTGAACATTTTTTCATGTGTTTTCTGGCCATTTGAATTTCTTCTTTTGAGAAAGTTCTATTTAGTTCACTTGCCCATTTCTTTATTGGTTCATTAGTTTTGGGAGAATTTAGTTTTTTAAGTTCCCTATATATTCTGGTTATCAGTCCTTTGTCTGATGTATAGCTGGAAATATTTTCTCCCACTCTGTGGGTGTTCTCTTCAGTTTAGAGACCATTTCTTTTGATGAACAGAAGCTTTTTAGTTTTATGAGGTCCCATTTATCTATGCTATCTCTTAGTTGCTGTGCTGCTGGGGTTTCATTGAGAAAGTTTTTACCTATACCTACTAACTCCAGAGTATTTCCTACTCTTTCCTGTATCAACTTTAGAGTTTGGAGTCTGATATTAAGATCCTTGATCCATGTTGAGTTAATCTTGGTATAGGGTGATATACATGGATCTAGTTTCAGTTTTTTGCAGACTGCTAACCAGTTTTCCCAGCAGTTTTTGTTGAAGAGGCTGCTATTTCTCCATCATATATTTTTAGCTCCTTTGTCAAAGACAAGTTGGTTATAGTTTTGTGGCTTCATATCTGGGTGCTCTATTCTGTTCCACTGGTCTTCATGTCTGTTTTTGTGCCAGTACCATGCTGTTTTTATTGTTATTGCTTTGTAATATAGTTTGAAGTCAGGTATTGTGATACCTCCTGCATTGTTCTTTTGACTGAGTATTGCCTTGGCTATTCGTGGCTCCTGTGTTTCCATAAATTTCACGTACTCTGGGAATATACCCAAAAGACTGTGACACAGGTTACTCCAGAGGCACCTGCACACCCATGTTTATTGGCGGCACTATTCACAATAGCCAAGTTATGGAAACAGCCAAGATGCCCCACCACTGACGAATGGATTAGAAAATGTGGTATCTATACACAATGGAATTTATGCAGCCATGAAGAAGAACGAAATGTTATCATTCGCTGGTAAATGGATGGAATTGGAGAACATCATTCTGAGTGAGGTTAGCCTGGCCCAAAAGACCAAAAATCATATGTTCTCCCTCATATGTGGACATTAGATCAAGGGCAAACACAACAATGGGATTAGACTATGAGCACATGATAAAAAGCGAGAGCACACAAGGGAGGGGTGAGGATAGGTAAGACACCTAAAAAATTAGCTAGCATTTGTTGCCCTTAACGCAGAGAAACTAAAGCAGATACCTTAAAGCAACTGAGGCCAATAGGAAAAGGGGAACAGGTACTAGAGAAAAGGTTAGATCAAAAAGAATTAACCTAGAAGGTAACACCCATGCACAGGAAATCAATGCTGAGTCAATACCTGTATAGCTATCCTTAGCTCAACCAGCAAAACCCTTGTCCTTCCTGTTATTGCTTATACTCTCTCTACAACAAAATTAGAAATAAGGGCAAAATATTTCTGCTGGGTATTGAGGGGGTGGGGAGAGGGAGGGTGGAGTGGGTGGTAAGGAGGGTGGGGGCAGGGGGAGAAATGAACCAAGCCTTGTATGCACATATGAATAATAAAATAAATAAATAAATAAATAAATTTCACGGTAGATTTTTCGATCTCTTTAATGAATGTCATTGGAATTTTGATGGGAATTGCATTAAAGATTGTAGATTACTTTTGGAGTATCGACATTTTACTATGTTGATTCTACAATCCATGAGCATGGGATATCTCTCCACTTTCTACAGTCTTCCTCAATCTCTTTTTTCAGAGGTCCTTGTAGAGGTCTTCACATCTTTTGTTAGGTTTACACCTAGGTATTTGATTTTTTTGAGGCTATTGTAAATGGAATTGTTTTCATACATTCTTTTCCGTTTGCTCATTGTTAGTGTATAGAAATGCTAATGATTTTTCATGTTGATTTTATATCCTGCTACTTGCTTAGCTATTGATGATGTCTAGAAGCTTCTGAGTAGAGTTTTTTGGGTCTTTAAGGTATAGGATCATGTCGTCTGCAAATAGGGATATTTTGACAGTTTCTTTACCTATTTGTATTCCTTTTATTCCTTCTTCTTGCCTAATTGCTCTGGCTAGGAATTCCAGTACTATGTTGAATAGGAGTGGAGATAGTGGGCATCCTTGTCTGGTTCTGATTTTAGAGGGAATGGTTTCAGTTTTTCTCCATTAAGTATAATGCTGGCTGTAGGTTTGTCATATATAGCTTTTATAATGTTGAGGTACTTTCCTTCTATTCCTAGTTTTCTTAGAGCTTTTATCATGAAATGGTGTTGGATCTTATCAAAGGCTTTTTCTGCATCTATTGAGATGATCAAGTGGTTTTTGTCTTTGCTTCTGTTAATGTGGTTTATTACGTTTATTGATTTTCGTATGTTGAACCACCCTGCATCCTGGGATGAAGCCTACTTGGTCGTGGTGAATAATCTTTTTGATGTGTTGCTGAATTCGTTTGCCATTATTTTGTTGAGGATTTTTGCATCAATGTTCATTAAGGAGATTGGCCTATAGTTCTCCTTTTTGGAGGTGTCTTTGCCTGGTTTTGGGATAAGTGTAATACTGGCTTCATAAAATGTGTTTGGCAGTTTTCCTTCCCTTTCTATTTCGTGGAACAGTTTAAGGAGGGTTGGTATCAGTTCTTCTTTAAAGTCTGATAGAATTCAGCAGAGAATCCATCAGGTCCTGGACTTTTCTTTTGGGGAGACTCTTGATTGCTGCTTCAATTTCATTTTGTGTTATAGATCTACTCAGGTGATTAATTTCCTCTTGGTTCAGTTTTGGATGATCATATGTATCTAGAAATCTGTCCATTTCTTCAAGATTTTCAAATTTATTTGAATATAGGTTCTGAAAGTAGTCTCTGATGATTTCCTGGAATTGCATAGTGTTTGTTATCTCCCCTTTTGCATTCCTGATCTAACTTGGGTTTTTTCTCTCCTCATTTAGTCAGGTTTGCAGGGGTCTATCGATCTTGTTTATTTTTTCAAAGAACCAACTTTTTGTTTCATTAATTCTTTGTATGGTTTTTTTGGTTTCTATTTCGTTGATTTCAGCTCTTATTTTTATTATTTCTCTCCTTCTATTTGTTTTGGGATTTGCTTGTTCTTGTTTTTCTAGGAGTTTGAGATGTATCATTAGGTCATTGATTGGGATCTTTCAGTCTTTTTAATATATGCACTCATGGCTATAAACTTTCCTCTCAGGACTGCCTTAGCTGTGTCCCATAGGTTCCGGTAGGTTTGTTTTCATTTTCATTGACTTCCAGGAACTTTTTAATTTCCTCTTTTATTTCATCGATGATCCATTGTTCATTAAGTAATGAGTTATTAGTTTCCAGCTGTTTGCATGTTTTTTGTCTTTACTTTTGTTGTTGAGTTCTACTTTTACTGCATTGTGATCAGATAGTATGCATGGTTTAATTTCTTTTTCTTATATTTGCTGAGGCTTGCTTTGTGCCCTAGGATATGATCTATTTTGGAGAAGTTCCATGGGCTGCTGAGAAGAATGTATATTGTGTAGAAGTTGGATGAAATGTTCTGTAGACATCAACTAGGCATTTGATCTATTGCATATTTTAGATCGGATTTCTTTATTGATTTTTTGTTTGGATGACCTATCTATTGATGATAATGGGTGTTAAAGTCTCCCACAACCACTGTGTTGGCATTATATATGCTTTTAGGTCTTCGGGTATGTTTGATGAAATTGGGTGCTTGACATTGGGTGCATAGAGGTTGATAATTATTATTTCCTTTTGGTCTATTTCCCTTTTATTAGTATGGAATGTCCTCTTTATCTCGTTTGATCAATGTAGGTTTGAAGTCTACTTTGTCAGAGATAAGTATTGCTACTCCTGCTGTTTTGGGGCCATTGGCTTGTAAATCTTCTTCCAGCCTTTCATCCTAAGCTATGCTTATTTCTGTCAGTGAGATGGGTCTCCTGTAAGCAACAAATTGTTGGATCTTCCTTTTTAATCCATTTCGTCAAGGTGCCTTTTGATGGGTGAATTAAGTCCATTAACATTAAGCGTTAGTACTGATAGGTATGTGATGATTCCTGTCATTTAGTTGTCTTAGTTGTTTGAAGGTTTGATTGTGTGTACCTAAGTTGAGGTTACTCTACTGTCTTGCTTTTTCTTTCCTGTGGTTTGGTGCTGCCTGTCTTTTCATGGTTAAGTTGGGTTTCACTTTCTGTGTGCAGAATCCCTTGCAGAATCTTTTGTAGTGGTGGCTTTGTGGTCACATATTGTTTTAGTTTCTGCTTATCATGGAAGACTTTTATTGCTCCATCTATTTTGAATGATATTTGCTGGGTAGAGTATCCTGGGGTTGAAGTTATTTTCATTCAGTGCCGAAGATCTCACCCCACGCTCTTCTTGCTTTTAATGTTTCTGTTGAGAAGTCTGCTGTGATTTTGATGGGTTTACCTTTGTATGTTACTTGTTTTTTCTCTCTACAGCCTTCAATATTCTTTCCCTAGTTTCTGAACTTGTTTTAATGATGATATGTCGTGGGTAGTTCTTTTGATCTGGTCTGTTTGGTGTCCTGGAGGCCTCTTGCATCTGTATGGGAATATCTTCTCTAGATTTGGGAAATTTTGTTATTATTTTTGTTGAATATATTACGCATTCCTTTGCTTGCCCTCTTCCTTCTTCGATGCCCATGATTCTCAAGTTTGGTCTTTTGATGGAGTCAGTGAGTTCTTGCATTTTCTTTTCACAGGTCTTGAGTTGTTTAATTAATAGTTCTTCAGTTTTTCCTTTATTACCATTTCATCTTCAAGTTCTGAGATTCTGTCTTCTGTTTTTTCTATTCTGCTGGATTGGCTTCCTTGTTTTGCAGTTCTGTTTGTTCTTTTTTCTGAGGTTTTCCATATCCTGGATGTTCCTCTTTAATGTTGTCTATTTTGTCCTGAGTTCATTTATCTGTTTATTCATCGTGTTCTCTCTTTCACTTTGGTGTTTATACAGTGCTTCTATGGTTTCCTTTATTTCTTCTTTTGCTTTTTCAAATTCTCTATTTTTGTTGTCTTGGAATTTCTTGAGTGTCTCCTGTACATTTTGGTTGACCCTATCCAGTTCATCTCTATAAAATTCTCATTGAGTACTGTAGTATGTCTTCTTTTAAATTATTCTTGTGGGCTTCATTGGGTCTTTGGCATAGTTTATCTTCATTTTGTTGGAGTCTGGATCTGAGTATCTTTTCTTCATTCCCTCTGGTTCCTGTACTAATTTTTTGCTGTGGGGAAACTGGTTTCCCTGTTTTTTCTGTCTTCCCGTCATTGTCTTTGGTGTTGTTACTGTCCCTGTACTGTGTGCAATTAAGTATTTTCTAGCTTGTAATAATATCAATGGTGATATTTAGAATGGAAGGGTGAGCTGAGATGGAAAGCAAGAAGTTAAAGAAATGGGAAAAACAAATACACAGACTGGAGGGAGAAAACAGACCAAGGTATCAGACAAGAAAGTTTCAAAGGTATAAACAGGGAGCTTTAGTGTACTAATCAGACAGTAAGCTGAACAGACATTAGAGAAGAGAGAGGATGATAAAAAATAAAATAAGATAAGATAAAAAATAAAATAAGTAAATGAAAGTAAAATCTATATATAAAAATGTATTAAAATAAAATGAAAAAATAGAAAATTTTAAAAAACCAAAAAACCTCCAAGTTCAAATGCAGTGAAATTTCAGTCTTAATAATTTGGGTGTCCGTCTCAGTCTCCAGTCCTGGAGATGGTGCCTCAGATTTGCTGTAGTTCTCATCAAAGGGGACGCATAAAGTAGAACAAAACTACACACACACCACAAAAAAAAAACCCACCAAGTGTCCCAAGTTCAAATGCAATACAGTTTCAGTAAGTTTTTCAGCATAGGTGTAATTCGGTTTTTCTCATCAAAGGTAGGGAGAAAAGAAAAAAAAAAAGTCTGGAGACAGTTCTGAATGGTATCTGCGGCTGTGCTTGCCTGCCCTGCTGTCAGCCTGCTGTTGCTGGAGGCTAATAAGATCTCAGGGGTGAGCTTAGCACTCACCTGGCCCCCAGGCTTTGTTTGCTCAGATTCTCCTGTGGAGCCTCTGCTACAAGCTTTCCCCTTTCCACACTGGAAAGGTGACACTGCACCCGTGTTCTCAGGCCTGCGTTGTTTATTACAGTTCATGTGGGAGGTGGGTCTTCCCCCCTCTCCTGTGCAGTTTCCTCCCACGCCACTTTTCACAAGCTTTCCTGCTCCTGATTACGGCTGCTTGCTGCTCCTGCCAGCCGCCATGTTTGTTTACAGTTCACGTGGGAAGTGGGTCTTCCCTCCTCTCCTGTGGAGTTTTCCTCCCTCCGCCACTCTCACAAGCTTTCCTGCTCCTGGTTGCTGGGTGCACGCCCCTGCTCCTGCTAGAGCCTCTCTGGGCAGACCGGCTTTTTTATTTACAGTCCCAGGAAGGATTCCCTTCCCCCAATCTTCAGCGCTCAGGGCGCCCCACCCTCTTTCCCAGATGTCTTTATCGTTCTTATTGCTTATTACTCAGTTTCTCTTTTTTCCCGGGTGGATGTCAGTCTGTCTAGGGGGCTATGCTGCTCTGGCCCAGGCTTGTCTGTGGGAGTACCGGTACTGTGAAGCTCACCTGGTCCGCGTCTTCCCAAGCCGTCTGGGCACCTGAGACTGGTGGCCCGGGGCCCTCCTTGTTCTCGTTTAACGTGCAAGTTGGAGATTTCTCTGCGCGTGAGTGTGGGAGGGTCCAAAGTTATGCCCTTCCTCAGTGATTATGCCTGCAAAGTGTGTCTCCGGCATCTCTCCAAGATTTCACTATAGGAGGCTCGCTTTCTGCTTCCTCCCTCTAGCCACCATCTTGGAATCAGTGTAAATTCTTGAAGCATTATTATATCTATATATGCATAAGGAAATTTGTTTTTAGTTGAAGTATAATGAAGAGACTATCCCAAAACATTTCAGTAGTTTACATTCGTCAATTATTCAGTTGTGCTGTTAGTTATAAAATATAATAATAAATTTGTGTGTCTGTGATCTTTATTTGATTTTATAAGACTGTAAACAGAGATACTCTATTGGTTTTAATGTTGGCATTTGAATCATGAAACCTGTTTTTACTCTTAAACAAGTCTTTGTTTTGGTTTCTTTGCAGGGTCGTCGTTTTGGAAAGTAGGCCAACAGAAAATCCAACTGCACACAGCAATCTCTACATCTTGGCTGGACACGAAAATAGTTACTAAGCAACAGAAACTGATGTCAGATGACAGGAAAATGAATATATTCCATTGAAAGCAAAAATGTTTTAAGGAAATTCAATACAGACTGCAGTATAATTTGCTTTAACCATCACGGGTTATATCTCAAATGGTCTGTGCATTAGGGTAGATTCAATATTTTCTGTAGCTGGAAACAGCTAGTCTATCTCTTGCCACTGTGTGGTGGTTATATCAAGTTTGCTTAATAAAAGCTATGAGACGAATAGTCTTCTAGTTCCAGGAAACACAGTCTTTTTTTTTAAAAATAATGTTTGTAACAAGGGTGCCATGGTATTTTTAGATGACTCGTGATTATCTTCAGATAAATATAGTGGCCATTCTATCATTTTATACTACATCTTATTCCTTCTTAATGAACATAATTTGATAAAGAAATTATCAGACAAGCCTTTCCCTTTTCATTGGCCATTCTGTATGTTTTTGTAATATAGAATATTTAATCCTTATTTATTAATCTCTTGCTGGAGTGGTATAATGTATCTAACTTTTAGAAAAGGAAGGTTGCAGAGCAGCTTAAATTTTTTTATAATGTATAAAAATTTTGTTTACCTTTTCAGAGTAGTACTTGGAGGAGGGTTAAAAGCAGTTTGTGTGAGAATTCAACAGATAGGCAATTTCATTTAACAAAAGTATTTTATAACAGAATTTCATGCAGGATTGCCTTAGAAGGGAGTTTTGTGTTTTCAATTATAAATAGTTGTAAGGGGTCATGCAAAAGATACTGATGACAGCTGAAGTATTCTTAGAAGAGGTGTGTGTGTATGTAGGTGTGACTACCATGTGTATGTGTTCTTGACAAGCAGTATAATGTACCTGTGATTTTTTTGCATTAGGGGTAATACATAAGAAATTAATCTTCATATATATTGTCATCCCTAATGTAAGGGTGAAAAGTGTTTAACTGCTCGTGTTATGTATTTTACATATACTACGCCAGAGGAAAACTGTAAGACAATTATACATGTAATCTTGGGGTCTTCACATATATAGGTATTCATTTGAGTAGGTTTAAGAAAAAAAATCTTTAAATGAAATTGATTTCCTGATGGGATAATATAAAGAAGTATTGTTAAAACCAGTATTCTGCAAATAAGAAAGGATAGGGCCATTTTTTTTAGTTTTTCTTTTTTTAGTTTTACTTTTGAATATAATAATTATAGTATTCAAATTTAAAGTGTTACATTGGTACCTATCATCTTAATGCTTTTATTAAGAACAGTTCGCATTAAGATGATGAACAAGGAGCTAGCAGTAGCAAATTGTAGAATTATTCTGACTAGCTACTTGAGAGGCAAACCATGTAGCTATCTCATTCAGTCTTTAGCAGTTCTGTAAAGCAAGTATTATCATCTCCATTTTCCAGATGAGGAAATAAGGGTTTAGGAAAGTTAAGCAACTTACTCAATTCACGCAGGTTTGTGGTTGAGGCAGACCATGAGTCTTCTGACTCTATTCTTTTCACTATGCAATTTGCAAACAATAAAATATTACATAAGTGAACTATAAAGTATTTTTTCCTTCAAAAATGCACATATGCTAGCTATATTTGATATCAGTAAGTATGTCACTGTTTTTGTGGGTTATCTTAAATGGGTCTTCTGGACTGAGGGATACTAGGGACAACATGTGGCAACATGAGGATAGGGACTATCCTAAAAACAGGGAAAATACACATGCTGGATACGGAGACCAATGTCCCTTCTTTTCTCACTGAATCCTGGCAGCCATCCTAACAGAATACTGGAAGAGTCTTCTCTGTGAAATCTGGCCAGTGCAGGTGAAAAGACCTAAATAAGATCCTGGTGTCAGAGACCTCCTGGGTAAATTGCCCAGCTGGATAACACTCCAGTGAGGGGAAAAAATAGTTGATATCATGCATCCAGAGCTTGCAAAATTAGTCTTTTAATACTATGCTATTAAAAGTGAGAAAACAAAATTGATTTATAAGAAATCAAAGGAAAGTCTCTACATGAGAGAAAAGTCGGGTTGGAGATTTCTTAGAGGAAACAGACTAACAGTCAAGAATGGCAATGGAAAAAATAATGTCAGACATGCTGCAATTATTAATCTGACCTTTTAGAAGACAGAAAGGTCTTGGAAGATAATATGAGTAATTCAGTTAAAAGGATTAGAATATGAAGCTGAGGACATTTCTCAGAAAATAAAATGAGAAATAAATGGAAATACTGGAAAATAAAAGTTAGGGAAACTAATGGCCCAGGAACTCTAACATCCAAATTCCCAACATTCCAAAAAGAAAGAGTAGAGAAATAGCCTATTTCAAGAAAATTTTCCAGTACTGAAGAACATCATATAGTAGACTGAAAGAACACAGTGAATGAAAAAGACAGCAAAACATCACTATGAAAATTCAAGAACACCAGGGTCAAAGAGACCAGGAAAAAGGGGAGGTCACACACCAAGGAATAAGAATCAGGATAGCTTCAGATGCCAACAGAAGCAACGCTTTTAAACTAATAAAAGAAATTTCTAACCGGAATCTGTGTCTGACTGAAGGTAAGGGTAAAATGAAGACAGTTTTAGTCGTATAATGTCTTTAAAAATCTACTATATACCATTTCTTAAAAAGCTGTGAGAGGATGTGCTTCATAAAAATAAAGATAAAAAACAAACAATGTAGACATAAGATGCAGAAAAATGGGCTTCAGCACAGGATAGAGATGAAGGGAAATCCCCAAATGAGGGTGATGGGACATCTGCAGATTACCACCAATCCAGGTAGAATATATTGACGCATATCAGAATATCCTGGAGACAGTTTTTAGAAAGATTAATAATTGCCTTTAAGCATTAAACAGCCAGCAATGAGAAGTGCTAAACAAAGCCTGAGCTAAGAACATGAATAAGAAAGTTTATTTTAGAGATTCCAAAAGGTAGGAGTTAGGGACATGTGATACTAAAATGGAAAAGGGAGAGAAATCAACATAATTGTACATTCTCTGTTTTATTTGTGGTGGAACTGGGGTTTGAATTCAGGGCCTCACGCTTGCTAGACAGGTGCGTTACCACTTGAGCCACTCCACTAGCCTTTTCTTATGTTGGGTATTTTCAAGATAGCCCAGGGTGACTTTGAACTATGATCTTCCTGATCTCTGCCTCTTGAGTAGCCAGGATTACAGGCATGAGCCACCAGTGCCCAACAGTGTGAATTCTTCAGGTCATTGCTATATAAACAGTGGGAACTTAGTCCCACTAGGTCCTCTCAAGAAGCTATTTGATAGCTCCTCAAACTGTCTCCTGAAAGACAAGTGTCAGAGAAGGCTCTGAAACAGACAGCTGAGAATATGAGCTAAGTTTGAGCTCCCATGGAATTATCCTTTGTAGCTGAAATGTAAAATTCACAGAAAAGAAAAAGTAAACTACAATCAGTAGTTGAATGTCATAATAATATGTACAATGAATTTATTTTCATCAAAATTGCAACAGTTATGTTGGGAGGGGACATGGTGTCCATATGAGTAGGAAAGTTACCTGAATCCTTACTTTCTACAGTGGAAAATCAATGGGTAATACTTAAAAATTAAGATTACATCAAACTAAAAAGCTTCTGCACAACAGAGGAAATAAATCAATAGTAAAGGGATAACTTTCAGAATGGATGAAAACATTTGCTAACCATACATTGAAATTATGTAAGGAGGGCCAGGCACAGTGGCTCACACCTGTAATCCCCACTACTAACGAGCCAGAGAGCAGGAGGATCACAGTCCAGGTCCCGCCCTGGTAAAAAGTTAGCAACCAACAAGCCAGGTGTGCTGGTGCTCACCTATTTTCCCAGTACATAGGAGGATCACACTCCAGGCCAGCCCTAGGCAAAAATACAGACCCTCTCTGAAAAAGTAACTACAGCAAAAAAGGTGCTGGGGACATGGCTCAAGTGGTAGTGTGCCTGTCTAGCAAGCGCAAAGCTCTGAGTTCAAACTCAAATACTGCCAGAAAAATTAGAAGACAGCTGGGCATGTGGCTTAGTGGTAGGATGCTTGCCTAGCATGTGTGAGACCCTAGGTTCAATCCCCAGCAACACACAGAACATATACACATATACCTATATGTGTGTGTACTGTTTTTTTAATCCTGTCATTTCTAACATGCATGTACCTGAGGGGTGTAAATAAGATAAGGCACAGAAAGATAACAGCCACATGATCTCACATGTGGGATCTAAAAAAGGGCTCAAAATAGTAAGGTAAAATGGTGGTTACCAGAAGCTAGGGGTGAGGTCCAGGAAATACTGGTCAAAAGATACAAAGTTTCAGTTACAAGAACCTTTTTAAATAGAAAACTTAAAGTGACTTGGAGACAAAATAATCTGCTAAAATGAAAAGTTTTTAAGAAGGAAGGGATGAAGTGCCTTTTTTGGTAACAAACGTTTACAGGATTATTTGATTCTTTTTTCTTTTTTTATTGATACATTCATTGATAGTACAAGGAGGTTTCATTGTGATAATTCCATGGATGTATGCAATGTTTGAACAAATCCCTTCCCGAATTACATTCCCTTAATTCCCTCCTCCCCCCTTTTTCAACAGTATTTATTAGGTTTCATTCTGATAGATAGATAGATAGATAGATGATTGAAAGATGATGATTGATAGACAGATAATGTACTTAGATCCTCTTTATCCCCCAGGACACTCTTTCTCCCTCCTACCACCAATTCCCAAGACAGTCCCCCTATTACACTCATGTCTCATTGTTAGTCTCATCGTCACCATTTTGATTCTAGATTTCACATGTGAGCAAAAACATGCAATATTTGGCTTTTTGAGCTTGGTTTACCTCACTTAATATGATCTTCAGTTCCATCCATTTTCCTGCAAATGACATAATTTCATTGTTTATGACTAATACTCCATTGTGTGTATATGTCACATTTTCTTTATCCATTCATTGATTGGTGGATGTCTAGCTTTTTTCACACTTTTTTTCACTATGATTCTTTATGTGCATGCATGCATTTAATAAAAGATGCAAGATCTCCTCAAAACATCACTGAAAGAAATTAAAATACACTGGAATGAATGGTGAGTGTGCCCTGCTAATGAATTACAAAATTAGGTACAGTAAACATGTCAATGGATTTTGTATGACTGCAGGAGATATTTTGTGGACAAGTAGATTCTCAAATTAAGGACAAAGGGTGAAGAATAGTCAAGGCAATCTTGAAGTCTTCAGCTACCAGATTTCAAGAATTAGCATAAACTGTAATCATAGTTAAGATAGTATGATACTGATACATAGACAAAAGAGTGAAATAATTGCAGTCCAAAGACAGACCAACAGCCACCTCATCTATGACTGGTATGCCGAGGTGGAGCAAAGGAAAAGGTAGCATTTTAATACTGTATTGAAAACATGAAAAATCAGATGACTCTTGATTGTTACATCACATCACACAATAATAACAGGTGGATTATATATCTTAAATATAAAAATGTAATGCTTTTAAAAGAAAAAAAAGCTACAGTGGTTCAGGCCTAAAATTCCAGTTACTTAGGAGGTGGAGATAGGATTATGGTCTGAGGCCACCTGGGCAAAAGAACTGAGGTCATAGCTCAAGGGGTAAATTTCTTGCCTAGTGAGAGTGAGGCCCTGGATTCAATCCCTAATAGCAAAAAAAAAAAAAAAAAATTCATGAACTAAGGATACACAAAGATTTCTTAGAACATCAACTATAAAAGAAAAAGTTGGTAAAAAAAGCCCCTTTAAGATCCTCTGTTCACCCAAGACACCTTTACAAGAATTAAAAGACTAGCCACTACATGGAAAAAGAAACTTGTATTACATTGATGCACAAAAACCTGCCAAGAAGACAAAAGAACTATAAATCAATCAGATAAAGGTGGATAGCCCAATAGAAAAATGGGCAAAGGTTTTGAACAGGAGCTCCATAAATGATAATGTTGAAGTAATAAGTATCTGGAAATATACTCAAGTGGTTACCAAGAAATGCAAACTAAAACAATACCACTACAAAATAAAACCACACTGCAATGCTTTATCACTCACCAAATTAACTAGAGTGAAGAAGACAAAAAAAAAAATGGTGAGATAGCAGAAATGAGTCTTTGCACATTGGTAATGGGAACATGAAATGTTATACCTACTTTGGAAAAAAAATTGACAGTTTCTTTAAAATGTTCAACATACAATTACCATGTGACTCAACAGTTCAACTCAGCCCAAGAAAAAACATGTCCATGTGAAGACTTGTATGCAAATGTCCATAGCATAATTCATAATAGCCAAAAAGTGCATGGATACAAACCAAATATTCACCAGCTGGTAAATTGATAAATATGGTATATCCATGCAGTGGAATAGTACTTAGCAATAAAAATGAACAAAACATGGACCTTAAATGTGTATAAACCTCAAAAACATACTAAGTGAAAGAAACCAGTCACAAAAGAGAGAAAGTAGTTAGTGGTTGAATAGGGCAGGAGTTGGAAATGGGGACTAACCGCAAATGGCCTTGAGAGTTCTCTCTGTTATACTAGAGATGTTCTAAAGTTATATTGTGATGACAGTAGCACTACTGTTTACTAAAAAATCATTGATTTGTAGACTTAAAGTGACTGAATTTTGTGAAGCATTAACTGTACTTCACTAAAGCTTCTTAAGAACATTTGAAAAGGTATTCAACCAGGGAAATACAAACAATGCCATTACAAAATGAAAACACAGTGCAACACAATTGACCAGAAGGACAAAAAAGTGACAGTGTGAAATGATAGGGATATGGAATTCTTAGACACTGTTGTGAATTGATACAGTCATTTTGAAAAACTAAAGCTGAACATAGCACATATCTTGACCCAGCAATTCTAATCAGAGGTCTACACCCAAAAGACATGTGTACTAAAAGTTGTGTACAAGACTATTCATACTTGCCAGAAA